GGGGGGGAGGCGGGGCGCGGGGGAGGCGGGGCGGACCTTGGGAAAAGCAGGGAGAGGGCGAGTCGGGGCTGGATGAGGGCGCAGGGGAGGCGGGTCCGCGGGGAGGTGAGTCCATAGGGAGGCGGGGCAGTGGGATAGGCGGGCCGAGAGCCAGAAGGTGCTGGAAGGCAGGTTGGGGTGAGACCACAGGCGACGGGCGGGGCTGGGCTGGGCTGGGGGGTGGTGCCAGGTATGAAGAGAATGGGGCCTGTGGGGTGTGTCCGCATGAGCACCGCTATGGGCGACCCTGACTTGGAAAGTGGCCTTGCAGCCTTGGACTGGGAGGGGCTGGACCCTGGGTGGGTGCCCTTAGAGTGGAAAGAATGACAGGTTCGAGATGAATGAAGGACAGATGTTTGACTCAGTGGCTGAGACATCAGAGACAAGCGTTCCCAGCCTCAGGCGCTGTCCTAAGCCCAGCAAGTCACCTCATCCCATGTAGGAGCTGAAGCCCGGGAAACCCAAAGGGATAGTCCAGTACCCAGAACCAGGGGAAGGAAGAGCCCGGTCTTAAACACAGGCAGCTCATTCCAGAACCAACTCAACTTCCGTTACAGGTGGCTGGCCAGAAAATGCCCCACCCCACCCGTTGAAAGTTGGGGAAACTGAGGTCTCAGAAGGCGAACACAATCCTGGAGCACAGGGACCTCCAGGGACCCCCAGCAGGGGCTTAGGGAGAAGGAGGGGATGAGGCTGGAGTCCCCAGGCCAGAGGGGTGTGGATGGCCCAAGCTCCAAAGCACACAGATGTTCAGGCTTGACCCTGGCTCCGGGCTTCCGTCCAACCCTGGCCGCTGCCCCACCCCTCTGCTGCACTGGGGAGAGGGGCAGCTCAGAGCCCTCTGCATCCTCCCCTAGGGGCTCTGCATCCGCTTTGGTGGAGGGGGTTGGTTCGGGGAGAGGCCTCGAGGTGCCAAGCCTCTCCCAGAGCAGCCGTCTCTCACAGAAGGGCAGAAGGCAGGTGAGGCTGATGGCTTTCCCAGCTGGAGGCCGAGGAAGCAGGCTCAGCAGCTCTGGAAAGCTCTCCACAGGACACAAGCAGGAACAGCACTGCAGACAGAGGGAACAGCAGGGGCAAAGAATGGAGGTGGCAGTGAGGGACAGCCAGGAGGCCTCGGGCCCAGCAAGCACACTGCTGAGTGGGGTGAGGAGGAGGTGAACACACAGGCTTAGCTTGAGGGCATTGACTGTATTTTTATTTAAACACTCTTAAAAGGGCCTGGGTGGGATTGGCTCTGGGATGAAGATGCTTGACCAGTGATTGGCAAATAGAGGGTCTGTGACCCAAGCTTTGGCTGTGGAGCCCAGACATGGGGTTGGGGGTGTCAGGCATGGCCCAATCCGAGGCGAGACTCCCTGTCCTGCCCTGCAGGGCCGAGGCACTGAGCAGCAAGCCAGGGCAGGACCAGCAGCTCCTGTGGCCAGCACCACATTCGGCCGCCACAGTACAGGTGCACAGGACGCTCCAAGGCCAACCACAATGACTTCTCCTTCCCCTCCGGCCCCAGAGGTCCTGGAGGGAAACGACAGTCCCTGGCCTGGCGCCTGGAGCTGGGGACCAGTGTGAGGCCCATTGTTTGAGGCTGGAGCTGGTGGGGGCCACTGGGGAGCCCCCGGCAATGCCCTTCATCCCACTTACCGCAGCTCCAGAGCCCCACACAAGGACTCAGAGTCAGGGACACAGCAGCGTCCGGCGAGATGAAGGCGCTCGGACCTGTCCTGCTTGTCCTGCTGCTATGCGGGCGGCCAGGTACGGAGCAAAGGGTAACCCTGTGGTGGGGGGCAGCGGGCGCAGTCCCGGAGCACAGGGACCCACAGCAGGGGCTTAGGGAGAAGGAGGGGATGAGGCTGGAGCCCCCAGGCCAGAGGGGCATGGATGGAAACTGGCCTGGGCCCCCGAGAGTCCCCAAATATCTGTGGCCCTATTTACATGGGGTGTGAGGAGGGGCTATCATAAAGCGCCAGCCCACAGCAGCTGCTGTTGTAACGCCAATGCCAGGGCACGCTTGGCTGCAGGACAGTGAACAGGGTGTGCGGGGGACAGAGGTGACACCAGGTAGGCTGCCCTGAGGCCTGAGGGGGGGGCCAAGGAGTAGGGGGCACGACACTTGCCCAGAGCTGGCATCCCAAGTATCTGGGTAGCTGAGGCTTACGAGCATTTTTGCACGGCCAGGGAGAGGGCAGGCACAGCAGAAGGAAGAGGAGGAGGATGACGACTACAGGCCAGATGGCTACGACGAGGAGGATGAGGACGAGGTGGAAGAGGAGACCAACAGGCTCCCTGGTGGCAGGGACAGAGGTACGGCCACCCAGCCCCAGGGCCCTGCTCTGCCTGGAGCGTTCTGGGCAGGGCTGCGATGGAAGCCAATAGACCAAAGCCCTGCGGTGAGCTTGCCTCCAGCAGAGTGGGGAGCACTCAGCGCACCCCTCACTTCTCCCAGTCACCATACACTCAGTTGCCTTCCAGAGTCGGGAACAGGGGAAGAAGCCACCAACTGGGAGGGTGAGTGGTGTCAGGATGCAGAGGTTAAACAGTTCACCCGGCAGAGAAGGGCTCAGTGGGGCCCAGGGTGGAGACAGCAGGTGCAGGGGCCCCAGGGTTGGGTTCAGTTTGGTGGGGCAGAGAGAGCAGCAGGGTGGGCCGCCCTGTGCAGGGGAGGGCTGGGCTGGCTGCTGCAGGCTGGGGAGCCAGGGAAGCGCTGAAAGCTAGTAAGAGCCCACCCTCAGCGCCCACTCGCACGCCCCCTACGCAGTGGGGCCACCCTCTGCTTCCTCCCATCCGAAGAACAAAGCAGAGCAAGTCGCCGCATCCAACCCGCTGCCGGCCCCTCAAGCTGGGGCTCCCAGCATGCCCCACCACACCCAGCCCACCCCCGCCCCCAGGGCCCCCAGGCCTGCCCTCAGTCCAAGCCCCAACCCACACACCCACGAGGTGTCTGCTGTGAGGTCCTCTTCTGCCAGGCCCGGTGCTCCCGGAGGCAGGACTGAGTCAGACTCACCGCCAGGTCTTCCGTCCCACAGCAGGAGCCTGGGCAGGACTGTCACAGGAGCTGAGTGGTGACGGGAAGTTCATCCTTCCTGGCCCGAAATCCCTCACCCCTGAACACACAGGCTCACGCACATAGCACAGCTCCCAGGGCCAAGCTGGGGTCACCAGCCCGTCTAAGCAGCGGGTACCGAAGTCTCAGCAGGCTAGGCTTTGGGGGCACAGCTGAGAATGAGGAGGTGGACAGGGGTGTGGGAGGAGACCCAGGGGGACCCAGCCTTGGCCTGAGCCCAGCTCGTCCACAGTGCTGCTGCGGTGCTACACCTGCCAGTCCCTGCCCAGGGACGAACACTGTAACCTGACGCAGAACTGCTGGCATGGCCAGACCTGCACCACCCTCATTGCCCACGGGAACACAGGTAAGTGGGCGTGGAGCCCCAGCACATGCACCCCCAGGCAGTGGGAAAGCCGAGGGCCCTAACAGAGCCCTGCAGAGCCACCTCGGAGGCCCTGCCCAGCCTCAGCCCCTGTTCCCCACTCCCCTCCCCAGAGTCAGGCCTCCTGACCACCCACTCCACCTGGTGTACAGACAGCTGCCAGCCCTTCAACAAGACGGTCAAGGGGACCCAGATGACCATGACCTGCTGCCAGTCCAGCCTGTGCAACGTCCCGCCCTGGCAGAGCTCCCGAGTCCAGGACCCACTGGGCAAGGAGGCAGGCAGCCCCCGGGACAGCTCCAAAACTGTGGGCACGGCCCTCCTGCTCACCCTCCTCGCCGGCCTTGGTGCAATAGAGGCTGGGAGACCCTGACCCACCCCAGGAGACCCTGACCACAGCCCTCCCCACCCCAGGAGACCCTGACCACGGCCCTCGCCACCCCTGGGAGACCCTGACCGCGGCCCTCCCCACCCCCAAGAGACCCTGACCACGGCCCCTCACCACCCCCGGGAGAACCTGACCATGGCCCCTCCCCAACCCCAAAAGACCCTCACCACAGCCCCTCCCCACCCCTGGGAGACCCTGACCGTGGCCCTCCCCACCCCCAAGAGACCCTGACCACGGCCCCTCGCCACCCCCAGGAGAACCTGACCACAGCCCCTCCCCAACCCCAAGAGACCCTCACCACAGCCCCTCCCCACCTCTGAGAGACCCTGACTCACAGCCCTCCTCACCCCCGGAAACCCTGACCACGGCCCTTCCCAACCCCAAGAGACCCTTGACCCATGGCCTCTCCCTACCCCGAGCCCACCTGACTCACCCCCGGCCCAGCCAGCACTCTGTCTGGTACCTGCCCCTCCTGCCCCTGCGCCAGCTTTGGAGAATGAATTTGGAGGGTCTTGGGCGATCCAGCCATCACAGGCCCCCCTGCCCGGTTGCTTCCTCTGTTCCTGGCTTCCTCTGTTCCTGTGAGCATCAGAACGGCAGCACGTGGGCACTAGGTCCAGGCCTTGGCCACCATGCCCCAAGACCTGCAGCCCTCATGGGGGTGGGGTTGTCCACCAGCCCAGCCAGGCAGAGATGACACCCACCACATGCCTGGGGGTCCCCACAACCAATCCTCACCCTTTACTTTCTGCCATGGGAATCCCTCCATCTGCTAGTGGCCACATGGGCCCCCCCTGCCCTTCCCCAGGGCGGCCTCCCCACTGTCCAGAGGGAAGAGGCTTTGGAGGGAGGTGGTAGTCACCCCTAGGAGAGACAGGCCTGGGGGGCTGCGGGCCAGAGCAGGAGGCGCATGGAGTTGATGGGAGGAGAGGAGTAGATGAGATGGGATTTTTCCAGCCTCATCTGGCAGCACTCTAGATTCCAGTGCCCAGGGCCCGAAGCCTCATGGGTGTCATGGAGGAGCCTGGGGGTGGCGGACAGGCTACCCTGTGCCAGGGAGGGGGAGGAATGGGCCTGCGGCTTCCTTCAGGAAGCAGGACTAGGTAGCAGGGCCGGGCAGGTAGATGGCCCATTCTGGGAGGTCCCCAGGGGCTCCTCTGGCAGGGCTGGTGACTGCTCCAGGCTCTGCCTTCGCCACAGCCCTGGGACGGCAGGCAGAGGCCCAGCCTGGGTCACAGCTCAGCCACTCACTTGGGTCTCAGTTTCCCCTTCTGAGAAGTACAAAGCGAGACTTAAAGAACCCCTGGATCCCACCAGTTCTACACTCCACGCACCAGGAAGCCCAGAGTGCTGCCCGGCCTGCCAAGTTCATCCCAGCAAGCACAGGAGGCCTCCGCTCACTATTCTCTCCTTTTCCTCAGTAAAAAAACCCGCAATGCCTAGCTGAGGGTCTCAAGGCAAATGCCTTAGACGGAGGGGTCACGTCTTTCTCCTTCCCCTTCCCCCTTCCTGTTGGCTGAAGAGATGAGTGGAGCTCAGTAACCACTTTGCCCCGTGAGGCAGGACCAGGCACCAGGGCAGCATGGCCAGAGGGGCCTAGCTCGCTGCCGACAGAAGGCACTGCCTACCTCAGGGTCCCCTTACCTGGGAGGGGAATAAATTTCTCCTATGTGGAAGCTAATGATTTGGGGTGCCTCTGTTACTTGCATTTCGCACTCACACATGCAATTGTGTGTGCACAAACACGCACGCCTACAGCCTCGCTGGAGCACAGTGCGGGGCTAGGGCTGCCTGCTTGGAATCTCGGGTCCAGCCCTCCCCAGCTCCATGGCCTGGGAACACCTTCACCTCCCACTCGGCTCTGTTAAGCGGGAGTCCAGGAGAGCCCTCCTTGTGGGCTGCAGTGAGGCTCCACCCGGGTGCCACAGGTCACGGCTCGCAGCCCCATGCCTGGCAGAGGGCACGTGCTGGGTAAATGGGAGCTCTGGCCATCAGGACCCTTCTCGTCACCCCACTCTTCACTTGCCATGTGTGTGTGAACATAGTATATGCCCCACCTGAGCCAGCCCGAGATCCTCAAGATCCAAAGAAACCTCATTAACCACACCCGACTTAGAAACGCCCGGCGACGTAACCTCAGTTTGCCAAATGCTTCCTGCGCACAGCTGCCTTAAAGCCCTGCACAGGTCTGTGTGACAGACCCCTGGCCCTCCCAGCCCACACCACCTCTGGGTGTGCAGTCTGAAGCCACTGGCTGTAGGACCTGCCTCGGCCTTGGGTTCCTGTCTTTTCCCAGGGTCCTGGGCCCTGCCAGCAGCTGGGTCCCTCATCCTTGCCCCTGAGGAAGCAGAACGCCCAGCCGGACTCCCCTGGGAGTCTCACCTGCCCTGCCCAAAGGCACGAGAGCTGAGCATGTCCCTGCAGCTTTAGAAGCTGGTGAGGGGCCAGTACAGGGACAGAGCAGCCCACTGCCAGTACCCACCCCAAACACCACCCCCAGCAGCCCACAGAGGGCTTTCTCCTGGCACCCACAGGCTCTGAGCAGGAGGGGTCATCATGTTTAGCTGGCTAAGGTGCCCTGTCACAGCCCACCTGAGATAGGAAAGGCTGCAGCTGGGACATGAGGCTGGAGCTCAAAGTCCCACAGCTGGGCCTTGCAGATTCAGGATCCGTCCCAGGGCTTCCTGCCAACCGCAGCTGCTTCCCACGGGTGTCCCAGGCTCCAGGATGCCTGAGCTGGGGAGGAGCTGGATGCCAGCCAAGAGCCAGCCAGATTTCCAGGCCAAGTCCAATCTGTTCCAGGTGGGCCAGCGGTGCCAACGGGCAGATGGCCACAACCAAGACATCCTGGGCCCCCTCTCAGAGCCCAGGGCATGCTGTCGGTCTCAGGAGTGAACACAGAGGGGCCACCCTTTCTCATCCAGCCTGGGCAGCAGGGAGACTGGGGGCTGGGGGTGCTGGGCAGGGAGGGGCAGGGCCCCAGCCCTAGAATCCACGTCCATCTCTACCAGTTTCCCAAGGCTGCCAGGACAAAGCACACAAACCTCGTGACTTCACACAAGTTCATGCTGCGGTTCTGGAGGTCAGAAGTTAAAGTCAAGGCTCTGGCTGGGCTGTTTTCTCTAGAGAGAATCCACACCCCGCCGCCCTCAGCTCCAAGAGGCCGCCTGCACTCCTTGGCTCACGGCACGTCCTCCACCTTCAAAGCCTCTCCAGCCACTGCTCCCTCACCGCCTTTCCGTCAGCTCTCCCTCGGACTCTGCTTACAGGGACCCTGTGACCACACTTAGGACCCACCTGGAGAATCCGGAGCCACCTCCCATCTCAGGTCCTCTGCTTCCTCATGGCTGCAAAGTCCCTTTTGCCATATAAGGCACATTCGCAGCCTCGAGGATCTGAACCTGGGTATGTCAAGGACCTTTCCTGAGCCCACATCAGCCCCTCCCTGGACACCTGCCCCGAGACTGGCTGTGCTCTGGAAGCAACCATCTGGGGAGGATCAAACCAAGCTCCCTGGCTCCAGGGGCCACAGTCCCCGGAAGGGGCCTTGCCGGGACCCTGGTGGCCACAGTCCAGAAGTCAGCCCTGTAGCTATGTCTTCCTGCCCCAAAAGAATTCAGATCCCTTCGCCCCTTGCTCATCATGAGAAGCCGGCCAGAGGTTTGCTCTCACTCCATCTCTCCCGCACCCCTCGGGTCTGCCCACACCCATGTCTCCCAGTCATCAAAACTGACCAAGAGCTGGGGTGCAGTGCCTGACTCAACTCATAGGACAAACCCTAACCACGCCTCCCTCCCCCGGGAGCTCTGGCCAGGCCCATATAAGGACACACACAACGGGTGTCTGACACCCCCAGGACTGAGCCCCCCACCTCCACCCACCAGCCATTCAGGGACAGGCGGACTCAGATACTTGGGTGGGGCAACCTGGGTGGGGAAGACCCGAGGGAGTGCAGGAGAGACAGTGAGAGCAGGACTCAGCCTCGAACCCTGGGGACATGGGACTCTCCCCAGAGCCCACCTGTCCATCCGCTCCCTCCTCTCCAGGGACTGCGGCCTGCTAGCGCTGCTCCGGCACCCACTCTCTGAGGCATGGAGCCAGCGTTGCCATGGAAACGGGCATCTAGGAGTGGAATTCGTTCCTAACACGCCGGCGTTTGTCTCTTAATTCATTGGACTTAATAGTGACCTCTCTGCAGTGGAGGAGCAGGTGAGGAGCCGGCTGCAGAAGCTCACCTCGAGGCCAGCCCTCCCCCAGCCCCGCCTGGGCCCCCGGTGAGCCTCTGAGCCCGGTTCCCGTGGCTCAGTGCTGTCCCCAGCAGGCTCTGAGGTGCACTTCGAGTCACACCCCACCCAGGCAAAACCCAGCTCTCTCTTCTCTCCCCTCTCAGCTCTGGAGGCCACCAGCCTCCCGGGACCCCTGGATTTCGCAGCGCCACCCTGCCCTGACCCTGCAGCGCCTCAGGCTCCTGCCCCTTGCCTCAGGCTAGGGAGCCCAGGAACCCAGGGAAAGGGAACCTGCCACGCCCCTCCCCAAAACCTCATGCAGCTTCTGACTCCCATGACCTTGGCTCCGGACCGCAGCTCCGGGGAGCACAACTCCACCTCCACGTGAAGAGACCCGACAAGTGAGAAACAAGATGCAGCGGAAAGGGGAGAAACGTCGGCTGGGCGTCATCAAACCACAGGCGAGGCTGGGTCCTCCCTGCCCCTCAGCCCTTCCTGGAGCTCCCGGCCAGCAGGGCCCTCCAGCACCGGTGGGCGGGGAAGCCTGTCCCACCTGGCCCGGCTCAGCCTGAGGTCTGGATCAGTTCCCAATGCTTTCAGTAGCAAGGAACAGGAACAGAAAACCGTCTCGTTGCAACTTTAAAATAAACACTTCATTTTGCCAGAAAAGAGAATTGTGGAGGCCTGTGGCTGCGGGCACCCCTGAACCACCCAGGGATGAGTGCGCAGGGGCCTGGCTGTGCCTGTCGGGGAGACCCCGCTTAACTCGAAGGGAAGCGGGGAGCACTGCCCTTCCTGCTCACCCATGGTGGACCTAGAATTGCACCATCAACCAGAGTCTGCTGCTGGCAAAGGGGCCCGGAGGTCTCCGCAATCAGACCACACACCTCAGGCCACAGAGCTCGGGCGGGTACAGGTTCTGGTACAGGGCACGAGGCGGCGAGTGGGAAGGGGTGGGGGCCAGTGCCTGAGGCCCCAGATGCCTGATGCCCCTAGGGAGGGCCGGAGGGCACTGCCAGGCCTTCACGAGCTCGAAGATGGGTCCTGTGGAGACCTGCTCCCCTCCCTCCAGGCCTTG